TTTCGATGGCTTCCGACGCCGATTCGATTCGCTTTCGGGTGCCGACGTGGGCTGCGAGGGCTCCATGACGGCTCACCGGCCTGCCGAGTTCCGCCGGTTCGGCTTTTCCCGTCTCGGCGGCCGGTTTCCGCCGATCCGATTCATGTCGACCGCAGAGATCCGACATCGATTCGACTCTGGGCTCTCCTGGCTTGGGAGCTTGCTGCGCTGCAGCGCGTTGCGGAGGCGTATCACGTGCTAGGCGGCGCGCTGCGCGTGACGGCCCTAGGTCGGCGTCACCCGGGCATACTGATACTATGTGTGCGTCGCCCCCAAGGGCGACGCGCGCACCGAGAAATCTTATAGCATATGCGTCGTGGCGGACGTTTTCTGGCCTCACCGCTCGGGAAACGATATACTACAAGATGGGTATATGACATGTTCGGGTCGGACGCGCGCCTCCAAGGAGGACATGCAGTATTCGTATGTCTCTGCGCGTCCCATTAGGATTGAGCTCGCAGAGTGGGGGTCTCGGCCGGCTTCCAGTGGGAAAGTAAGGGAACGTAGCGCGCAGATCTTTTTTGAAATCAGGGAGCGCCGCATCGTGATGAGGCCGTGCCAATCGCTGCAATTTCACCTCAGGTCTTGGGGCCGTCTTGGTTTTGTTCCCTGTGGGTTCTCGAGTTATTCGACGACTCTGAGGGCCTCTGGAGGTCAACGGGGCACGAAGTGCGTGAGGGGTGCGCCGAAGGAAGGCTCCCTTGCGCCGTTCTGAGGCTCCAGCTGAGAGCCTCTGGGGCGTCCGAAGGGCACGGAGTGCGTGAGGGACGACCTGAATTGCTGCTCCTTTGAGTCGTCGCGTGGGACAGCTCTGCACATCTGGGGGTTGGTGGGGCACGACGTGCTCGACGGGTGGGCCGAACAGCAGCTCAATTGAGCCGCCGTCTTGGGGCCAGCTGAGGGCACCTGGGGTCCACGGGGTACGAAGTGCGTGAGAGGTGAGCTGGATTGCGGATTGGATGCCCTTGAGGCGGCTTGTGGGGCCAGCCCAGCATCTCCAGAGGTCCAATGGGGCACGCAGTGCGTGAGGGGCGTGCCAGCCGAGGCCCCCCAGAGCTGTGCGGTGCGCGGACGCCCTGCGAGGACCTGCTGAATTCAGGAGGAACAAAAACACACAGACACAATTAATCCTCGATTCCCAGGAAAATATGGGAAAATATGGGAATTGGGGGGGAAGACAAAAACCCAGAAAATATGGGAAAATATGGGGACTATTTTTATTTGTGTGTATTTATTTGTGTGTCCTAATTTCCCTTTATGAATGCGCGAGACCCTTCCTGGCGTACATGCTGCATGCAATCTCCATACGGTAGGTTCGTGTTGTGTCGACAGGCGGTGGCCCCGCCGCCGGCGCTCGACCTTGAACGCCGCGGGAGACCCAGACTCGGTCGATGTTGAACGATCTGACTTTCCGGAAACCGCCGATTCTTCAAGGTGGAACGATCCCCGCGGTGTCAAAAGCCAACGCCGAGGTCGGCCTGAGGCGAGCTTGCCGCACTCTTTGCCAGAAGCTCTTCCCACGTGGATTTGTTGTCGCGGTTGGGTCCGCCCTGCTTCCGCTTCCTTCCCGCAGGAGGCCCCCCTGCTTCCTGCTTCTTGAGCGTGCCGAGGTGCGGTGGGCTGCCGCTCGTATACTCCTGCACCCCTGGGAGCCTCAGTGCGGCACGCCCCTCACGAACTTCGTGCCCCACGGGTTCCCAGAAGCCCTCAGAGGCCCCCCCCTCCCTCGCCCCACCCCTGGAGATCCCCAGATGGCCCCGTGGAGTCCGGCACACCCCTCGCGCACGTCGTGCCTCACGCACCCGCAGGGGCCCCCAGGTCGGGGCCTTCGGCGGCCCGGAGCAGGTTCGAGGCGGCGCACCGTGCCGCATGGGCTCCCGAAGGCCTTCAGCTGGTCCTCAGTTTTCACCACCCACCAAACCACCCCAACCCAACCCGAAGGCTCAGATTTACCCTCGATTTCTAGTTGGGGGGGTTCCGGGAACATCGAAAAAACACGTATGGAGCCCATACCCCCCCCAACCCGAAATTCGGGTCTTCGGGTTGGGTTGGGGTGGTCTGGTAGGTAGTCAAATTTGGCAGAAAAAGAATCCCCGATTCGGAACACCTCCAAGCACTTCGTCTCGCAGGGGTCTCCAGAGGGCGTCCAAGACCGCCAGACCCTCCAAGGGACGCCGGGATACCTCTAGGACAAGTTGCAACGATACGTGCCGACTCTCGTCTAAGCCGTACCCACGAACACCAATTGATTGCAACATTTGCGTGCGAGCTTCCCCTGGGGTTTCGCCGTGACTTGATTACCGCTCTGCGGTCAAAGTGTCCAGCTGCTTGTGGCAAATCCCGCCACCGTGCTAGCCAGGCATTCTGAGTGGCGACTGTTCGAGGGGGCACGGGAGACCATCACGTGTGATACCTCGTGCCCCCAGGATTGAGAACGCCGTGATGAGGATGAGGAGGATGATCACGAATAGGAGGATGAAAAGGAGGCACAGGAGGAGGAGGGGGGGAAGATGAAGGCGTCACATGTGGTACCTGATGCCTTCACTTCTTGATGAGCTCTCATCGAGCTCATAAGGGCTATTTGGGGATGCCCTGTGCGCCTGTGGTGCAGTTTGGGGCTTCGTTGAGGCCCTCTTGGGCAGTCTTGGGGCCCTCTTAGGCCGTCTTGGGCTCTCTTGGGCCGTCTTGAGCCGTCGAGTGGTTTTCTCAGGCCGTCTTGGGTCTCTCTGGATGCCCTCTTTGGCCGTCTTGGGGACGTCGTGGAGGCATCTTGGGCCATCATGGGGTCCTCTTGGGCCATCTTTCGACCCTCTTGGGTATCTCTTGGGCCGTCAAGGGGCCACATTGTGTGCTTCTTGTGCCGTCTTGGGCCGACTGAAACCCGAAAAGGCGAGACCGTGAAAATCGATGAACATCCACGGGGCAGCCAAATCATTTTGCAGACGCGGGCCTCTTGCGGCCCTCTTGGAGGGCCCTCTTGCGGCCCTCTTTTGAGGCATCTTGGGCCGTCTTGAGGCCATCTTGAGCCGCCTTGGGGCCATCGTGGGCCGTGCTGGAGACATCCTGGACCACCTGGGCGGCCTAGGTGGCCTGCCTCGGCCGTCCTGGAAACTCGGGAGCGCGGATCCATCGTTTCTGCACGAGGGGATCGCGGCCTCGGGAGCGCGGATCCATTGTCGTTGAGAGGGATCGTGGCCTCGCAAGGTGGGGGGGGGGAGTGCACGCGCGTGTCTGCTACGGGAAGGTCCCGCAGAAGGTCACAGAAGCCCTGCCGGGCAGCTCTTGGCATTCTGCCACGCCTCGGCGCGCCAGGGTGCACGGTGACGGGTTACGGGTCACGGCGGGCTCCCAGTGGGAAGCCAGTCCGCGGATTGTATGATCAGTGGATGTTCTGAGATATGGTTTCGATGAGGGTCGGTACCGATCGTCGTAATTATTCACATTTCGCGTATCTGGACCAGCCGCGTTGCTTTTGCTTAATGAGTATCTGCGTAGCTCGCTTTGACCTGACTCGCCGCCGGCGCGCTCGCCCGCGGCCGCTGACTAAAGAGTATTTGGACCAGCTCACCCATAAATCGGGGGAGCGTAAGACCCGGGTTTGCCGGGACTCGGGTTCGCCATCGTTTTTTGACGACTGCGCCTCGGATTTTGACGAGGAGGAGTTTCGTGGGATGTCTGCAGCGGGAGGCCTCGTCAAAATGCAGGCTCGGCCTCGTCATTTTTTCGACGACCTCGTCGGGGATTTCCGAGTCTCCCGTACCCGGGTCTTACGTCTCCCCGACCATAAACAATGCCCAGGCGAGTTGCGAAGAAGCCGCAGATGTCACACCACAGCTCGGACCCGCGCAGGCCCACGAGTCACCAGCACGCCTGAGCGGACCTTTCGGCATGGGATGCCTTGGGCAGTTCGTCCGCATCCTTCCCCTTCTTCTTCTCCTCCTCCTCCTCCTCCTCCTCCTCCTCCTCCACCTTCATCCTCTTCGTCTTCCTCCATCCTCCTTCTCCTCCTTTTCCGAAGCGCCTTCAGGCAGCTCGCCCGAGTCTGTTTTCCGATCGCACGTGTGCCTCCCTCGCGTGTCGTGTTTGTGTCTCCCCCCTGCTGATGTTCCGTTCCCGTCCGGTCCAGAGAATACTGAACTCACAGTCTGGCTTTGCACGCCGCCAGGCTTGCACGCGTCGGCCACCTCCACTGTCGCTGTCGTCGTCGCCAGGGTCTGTGACCCCAACGAGTGGGTCGCGGCAGCAGTGGCAGTGCCGAAACGCGCCCAGAGAGTTCAGCAAGGAACGATAGGGGCAAACCCGACTGCTCTGGCTGCCGCTCCAGGTGGGGGGGGCTGTGCTCCGGAGAGGCGGCGGCACGGCCCAAAGATCTGCTGGTTACTGAGCCTGCAGGGTGGGCCCTTGCCATGCTCTGTGCGCCTCAGCTCCGGCCCAGGCTCGAGCTCGCGGGTGCACTGAGGAGCGCCTTCGGGCCAGTTCGCCCAAGTCGGGTTTCCGCTCGCTCGGGCGCCTGCAGGACCCACTCAGCACCGAGGAGGAGCAGGAGGAGGAGGAGGAGGAAGAGGCTCTAGGATCGAGAAGAACCACGGAGGAGGAGGAGGAGGAGGAGGAGGAGGAGGAGGAGGAGGAGGAGATTCGAGAAGGGGGAGGAGGCTCGAGGAAGAGAAGGAGGAGGATCGCGGATCGAGCAGGATGATCGAGGAGGAGGAGGAGGATCGAGGAGGAGGACGAGGAGGAGGAGGAGGATCGAGGAGAACCGAGGAGGAGGAGGAGGAGGAGGATCGAGGAGAACCGAGGAGGAGGAGGAGGAGGAGGAGGAGGAGGAGGAGGAGAAGGAGGACCGAGGAACGAGGAGGAGGAGGATGTAGGAGGAGGATCAAGCAGGATGATCGAGACGAATCGAGGAGAAGGATCGAGTCCACCTCGAGACCCCTGCTGTCCGTGCGAGACCCCCCCGCGAGGTGGAGCACGGACGAGAACCCCTATCCATCACGGCTCGTGCCACCCAGACGGGCCCAGCGCCCCCCCGTAGGCTATGTCTCCTTCGGCTCAAGGGAGGACGAGGGATCGAACAAATAAAGTTGCATAACCCGGGACCAAGAATGTGTCCGCTACCAATCGAACCCGATGGTAAGGATGGACAGCACTCCCAAGGGTGCGCTTGCATCCTTGCTTCCTCGGGCCATCTTCAACCCCTTTCGATGACCAGCCCCGCTCGGAAAGCGTCAAGTCGGGTGTCCAAGGCGCTGGCATCCTTACCGCGCATCATTATCATCTTTTCTGATTGTATGCCATGTTGTGCTTGAGCATAGTTTAGGGGCACATGGCGGCCCAACCACGGTGTACATTTGTGTATATATACACATATTGTTCGACGCCTGTCGCCCAGAGAGTTGGCTGGAATGTTGTAACCGTACGAAGTTATGTGTCGTTCTCGCGAAGCCCCGTGGAACAGGGTCCATATATCTTAGTTTGCATAAGCAAAAAAGGGGGTCGCAGTCAACATAATCTGTCGGAGTTCCGCACGGATTTTTCGGATAGGTGCTGGACCCCCTTGGCGGCGCCTCCGGCGCCGGGATGCAGCTTCGAGCGCAGATCTAGGAAACCTGCGCGAGCCTTCAAGAGTTTGTGCTCAAGCCGTCTTCTTTGCTGCCTCTACACGAGGAGGTCGACTTCCAGGTTCTTGAAGCCTCAGGGCACGTGTGCCTGGCCTCCAGGGGCCTCTGGAGATTTCCAGAGATCCTTGGAGGCCTCCTCGGTGGGAGGAGGAGGAGGAGGAGGAGGAGGAGGAGGAGGAGGAGGAGAAGGAGAAGGAGGATCAGAAGGAGGAGGAGAAAGAGGAGGAGAAGGAGGAGGAGAAGGAGGAGAAGGAGGAGGAGGAAGAGGAGGACCACCGCTCCTCCGTGTTGCTCTCCCGCCAAGCGGTCTTCCTGTTCATCCTCCTCCTGGTGCCTGGTGCCTGCAGGCGCAAGCGTCGTGCCGACGCCGCCGCCCTCATTTTCCTCCCGATTCCTGATTCCTGATGGCGTGAGGAAGCGTCGAGAGCCGCCCCCCCCCTCCCCTCCCCTCCCCAGGGTCGGGTCGGCCCTGGGGGGGGTGATCAAACTAGTGCCAGGCGACCCCTGGAGCACCGCTCCATGGGTCGCCGGCAGATATCGGTAAGAAACGAATGAGGATTTGACCCAGCAAGGGGAGAAGAGAAGAGGAAGGACGAGCAAGGCTCATGTTTAGCGAGGGGGGGGGGGGATCGTGGCGCGGCGGTGGGACACACGGCGGCACAGCAGGAGGCGGGTGTGGTTCCACCTATCTGGTAGGGGCTGCGGCGTGAAGGTGGCGAGGTGACGGCAGCAGAGGCTGATGTTGCAGCTGCAGCTGCTGCTGCGCTGGTGCTGGGCAGCCCGTCGGCGTGGCCACGCTCGCCTATGGCGGTGGCTATCCGCTTGTAGCCGTCACCAATCTGACCCCCAGGATCAGACACCACCACCACCACCACCACCACCACCACCACCACCACCACTACATGAGGAGCAGCATGGCAGCCACTGGACTGGTGCGGCAGGTTGAGGCAAGCTGAAGCGAGGAGGATGCCGAGAGAACTATCGGCTGTGGCGTGAAGGCATTGCGAGGTGATGGCAGGGCAGGCTGACGCTGCGGACGCTGTGGCCGCGCTGGTGTTGGGCGGTGCGTGGTGGGGCCACGCTCGCCGGAGTGGAAGGCGCAGGGGCCTCTCCCCATGCCCATAGGGAGCCCCCACAGGGGTCCCCCAGACTCCCAACGTGAGCCACTACCTTCAGGATGGGAAAACACAGACACAATTAATCTTCCACTCCCAGGAAAATGTGGTAACATATGGGAAGTGGGGGGGAAGCCCAAAGCCCAGAAATTATAGGAAAATGTGGGAAATCCTTTCATTTGTATACTTATTTGTGTGTCTCAGGGCCGCTTCATACCTGCAAGCAGGCACAGTGTTCCCAGTGCGTGAAACCAGGGGCCGCCTGGGGGGCTTCCACTGGGCTTGGGGAAGGTTTGCGCTTTCCATGGCGGTGGCTGCTCGTGTGTAGCCGTCTCCCATCCCACCCCCATAATCCGACCCCACCACCATCACCAAGTGATGAACAGTATGGCAGCCACTGTGGAGCGGTTGGGCAGATTGGGAAAAGCTCAAACGAGAAGGTGGGTGAGAGAAAGGGTGGTTGTGGCTACGTTGGTGCCTGCAGTCGCCTCACTGTAAGCTGCGCGGGTGACCCGAGCCTTGTTAGGCATGGTGGCGACCTTTCAGGTGGCCTGCTTCGATGCGGCCGCGGCCGCCCTGCCCTTTGTCAGGGCGGCCCGCGGCAAGTTCCCTTTCCATTCTCCTCAAAAAAACCTCAGCAACCATATCCAACTCATCCCATCACAACAAGAGGGGAGGCGGCGGGTGCAAGATTCGTGTGGAAAGGCGGGGGGTGAATGGGACTACGAGAAGATGAGCCTTCAGATGCTTCGATGGTCTCTTCTGTGGATGAGAAGGCCTCTTGGGGGCCCAGTGCATTACCCGTCGGACAATGTAGCGTTCTTGGGTGAGAAAGTCCCTCGGGAATCCATTGCATTCTCGCCGTGTGCTGTGATGCGTTGTGATGGGCGTCCGCGATGCTGTGTGCTGCCGTCCCTGAGCAATCGGTCGAAGGTCGAGAAAGTGACGGCATCTGCGGCCAACTGTGCTGCTGGCCCTCGCGCGTGCGAACAGGTTACCAGGTTGGTGAAAGGACAGTGCAGTGACGTGGAGCTGGAATGGAGCAGTTGGTGGATCAAAACTGGTAAAAGTCAAGGAGATGATGACGCACTGATGAGCCGCCGTTCGGCCCATCCCATCCTGAGGCCTGTGTCTCGGAGGTTGTTGGCAATCAGGGGGGAGGCTCCTGATTCGCCTGGGTGTTGTATCCGAGCTGGTGGGCGATGTCGTATGGTGGCCACGGTTGCCACACTGTCTCTGCTCCGACCGTGGCGGCTACCTCGGATCTGTGGACCTCTTCGTCTGTCGCGTGTCGGGGGTCATGCCCCGAGCGATGTGGGCCGCACAGGCGGATGCTAATCCCGAGCCGCTGGTCCATGGAAGTAACCGGAACGGGAGTCGTGACGCAGCGTAGGTCGTGGTCGATGTAGTTGGTAGGTTCCTCCCTCTGGGATGTTGTCCCCAGTCCCTCGTGAGCGTCGTTGTAGCAGTAGGGCGATCGGCGCCCTAGGTGACGGCAGTCTTATGCGCCGCCATCCAATCATGTGCCCCCCGCTATGGGGCACATGCGTTCTGTGGCCGTAGGAGTCCCTGATGGGTAATGCAGTCGGCTCTGCGCTGGAAGTCGAAGTACGGGTCCAAGGGCGTGCGTAATGCAGCGTCGGTATCCTTCGATTTCCCTTTGGTCGGTGGTGAAATATGTGGTCCTTCTCGCGCACGTAGCATCCGATAAGGCCGGTGTCAGTATTTTGTTAAATTCGGTTGGGTATGTTTTGGCAGCGGCACTGCGCCATGCGCCATCCTCGCTGCATCCTAGTGGTGGTGGGTGGGCTCCATATCCGTGGTTGCATCTGCATCGGTTGGGTTTCGCGAAGATTCTCGCGTGTACTGTAGTCGTGGATCTCCGATCCCCAATAGGGTTGTGGGCTGGCGTGCCATCTGTTCCATCATGCATGGGTCTGACGATACCATCCGTACATTGGGTCGTCGTAGCAGCCAGCTGCTTGGTACCTGCCTGCTGTCGTGGACGGCTTGAGGATGCTCCATGTTGGTCAGGATCCCTGTAGCGTACGCAACGCGCAGCATAATGAATGTCCTGCGTAGCAGCTGGTTCCCCATGTCGATTTGGTCGTTGTCGCGGTTCTTGGGGCAGTTGAGGCCCCATTGTTGTTCTCTAATGCGAAGTGGTCGAGGTTGATGATGGGCACCGGGTAGATCACGCGTTCTGGCTACGCTCCATGTCTCACACGGTGGCCCTGCCAAGATGGCTGCCGCCTTCCCATCGCGCATATGGTTGATCCAGAAGTCAGTTGTGGCCAAGTTGGTTAGGTCCCCTGCTGTGGCGTGGTTGACGTTGTCGATGCGTAATGTGTACATCTGCGTACTGTGAGTCGGCTGGAAATGCTCAATCCACTCCTGCAGGTCTCCGTCTCGTCGATGTCCGCTGAAAAGATGGAGTACAAAACGTACTGGTCCAGCTGTAGGTCGCGGTACTTCTGGGTTGAGGGCGTTTGGGTCAATTGCTGGTAGTTTGACCGGTGATCTTATCGTGGGTTGCATGCCTGTCTTTGCAGTAGGTCGGGATGACGTCGGTTTTGTAGCTCTGGATTTCAGTGTAGTCAGCCGTTCTTCTGGTTTCGGATATTCTCGCAGTTGTTCTCGGTTTCTTCGTCGTTGTAGGGCGGTTCTGCTGTCATCCGTGGTAGCACATGATGGGGTTGTCTGGAGATGCATGTTAGCAGCATGTTAGACACATGGGTCCGCGTGCCCATCTCGTTGTGTGTGTCCCGCTCTTGTGGCAATTTTCTAGGTGGGCGTAGTAGGAGTTCTTTTTGGTGAAGGTTGCTCCGCACTGGTAGCACATCAAGCTGGGTTTTGGTGGTGGCAGTGGCATGCTCGGTACCGGTGGCATGTCGGAAGTGTTCTCGTAGGGTTCCATTGCATGGCGTCGTTCTTCATGATGGGCATGGTCCGTCTGTCGCCGTAGGTGCCACGCAACGACGGTCTTGACCATTCCTTTTCACTCGTCATTTTTACGTCGAACAGATCGTAGTATTTCTAGCATGTCGGTTGTTTCTGTGAGTTGTTCGTCTTTGTGCAGGTAGTCGTGCATCCACTGCATGTCCTCCACCATCGTGCTCGCCCAACTTGCGTCGTGATGGGCGTTTTCGTCCAAAAGCGTCAGTAGAACCGTGGGCCCGTGGAGGAGTGGGCATGGTAGGTAACGCGGCCTTCTCGCTCGCCTGGCCTCGTCGCGAGGCATCCTGTCGGCGTCGCTCGGCA